CTAATGTGATATTTCATGTTCCAGACAAGGGGATCCAGTCAACCAGTTGTAAGTGACTGAAGGCAAAACACAGCAATGGAGATAACATCAATTTATTCACACCTGCCCCTTCAACGACAAAGCTGTAACTTAAGCATAGATTCCCTTGATACTTCAGTCCGTCAGCTAAGGCACCTTGGTTGAGTAGGCTGACATCCTTTGATCTTTTGCTTTTAAAGATGCAAACCTGGAATGCCAGCATCATAGTTTCAGCTTCACTTTACTGTTATCAGCCTTCCTCTGCATTCCTGTTTGAATCAGTGGACGGGATCTCTTTCAAGGCCAGGTCTCATGGACAGGCTGGGGAAGTTCTGCAGCACAGTTTCTTCCATCCTTCACTTTTTCTCCCCATCATCTCATCTCATCTCATCCCATCATATTTCCTCCTTCCTTCCTTCCTTCCTTCCTTCCTTCCTTCCTTCCTTCCTTCCTTCCTTCCTTCCTTCCTTTTCCTCACCTAAAAAAACCTCTCCCCTTTTCAGTTTTTAAGCACTCACTCTGAACATTCTTAACGTCTGGTGATATGGCTTATTTGCAAGGAAGTTAAGGTTTTTCCTTTACCAGAACTGTACCAAAAAAACCCCAAAGATTTTGCACTAATGTCATTGTGTTTACTCATACTCCTGTCCCATAGTATCTTTATGTTCTAATCTAGGATATTTCTTCCTAAATTTTTAAAACAGAAAAGTGATACTTCTACAAGGGATATTTCCGCTACCATAATACAACATAACTTTTAGGTTTAAAGGTTTATCTCCAAAATATTCTTATCTGCTTATGTTAATTCCAAGCTGCTTATAAGAGATTATTAGGAATCTGAGAAAATAGCAGAAAGAACCTTAAACAGAACTTAGCAGCAGACGGGATAAGACACCATCAGTAACTTATCTCATAAATGGCAAGTTAGTCCAAGTTACCAAAAAAAAGGTCATACATTAAATAAATAAACAAAAGAAAGTATGAGGAAGACATTCAAACAGTTCTAACAGACTTCACCTTAATGAGCTTGGTAGTTAAAGAGGGATGACAATTTCAGTTGTAGTTTTCAAGATTCTGTAGTTTTCAGGATTAATGTTTCCAACGGTTGCATTAAAGTTTTATGCTAAAGTCTCTGTAATTCTTGTTTCCTTCCTTGATTGCGGCCAGCTATAAAGATTTTAACTTTGCTATACCCGGACTTGGATTCTAAACATTTGATTCTGAGGACTGTTCTTACTGGTGGTAATGAGTAGTAGATAATTTTTGACTAATGTTTCTCTCTTTGCAAGTCCCCTCCTTCCCAATTTGGCCTGATGAAGCAACTGTTCCATTTTCAGAAAATGGAAATCAACATGTTTTGTTTTTTTTCTGTCTACAGGATCAGAACTCATTACAGGTGGCCACACAAAATTTTGGATAAATTCCTACAGCTGTACTACAATTAAAAAAAAAAAAAAACTTCTTAGTTTCTGTAGAACTGAATTGTCAGCTATTTTGCAGCACAAAATTAACTTACCAATATGCAATTTCTAAATGAAGAACATGAGGCCACACATTAATTTGAAAAGATGTGTATTTTTTAGAACAGCAGTCTGATTAAATGTGCCAATTTCTCTGATTCATCTCTGGCTAATACTGGGGTTGCAAACAAACAGGACCCCACCCTGCTTATTTCTCTGTGTCCCAGGGGTCAAGAATATGTATTCTTACCAAAAGCACTTCCAAGTGCAACTTTTTTTTCCTGCAGATCAGTGATTGCTGGTCTTCTTTGGTTAATCCATTTACAGTCATAAGCTGGCTGTGCTTTAGGAGCCGTTACAGCTGTGTTGGACACTAAAGTCCAAAGCATGAATCAGATGAATAACCGCATTCCATATTATCTTCATTCCCATCTTTTTTCACTTCTTCTCAAATGCCAGTTTTTAAAATTGCCAAGTTTTGGCCCAGAAGTTTAAGAATCGGTGACACCATTGTCCTTCTTGTGGGTGCAAAGTGAAGGATTCCTGTCAGAAGAAGCTGAGCTGATTTCCGTCATTGCTTCAAGAATACACACGCAGGCACTGTGCCAAGCTATTATAGAGGGACAAGAGTCCTAACAACATTTTCCCCATCAAGTCCGTGGTCTCCCCCTGGTCCATGAAACTCTGGCTCTCATTCTTTGACCAAGTGAAGAATAGGAAGATCAGGCCAAAAAAATGTATCTGATATGAAAATTCCCAAGTACAGTTTTACATATTGACTGAAAAATTCAAAGGCATTTGCCAGTTATCTGCTGGCATTTTTTCCAGAATGTTAATTTGCAAGACCTGCCTGGAAAGACATATCCATGAAAAGTATTATTTTTGATTGTTGTTTAGGCTTCGTGTACAATTTTTTAATTCAAGTGCAGTGAACATATTTGCATGCGTGACATGAACCTGAAATGTATTATAGAAACAAACTAAATATCATTTATTAAATCTTTAAGATTCTATTATGCATTGGATGCAAACATTCCCATTCAGAGAGGAGGCAAACTTAGTCAAGCATAAAAGAGGTTCATTGCATGTATTCTGTGCCTGACTATCCTTGAATCCAACTATATATCAACATCGATAGGTATGTCATAAAACATTTTAAGGATGTCATCGTAAAGGAATAAGTCACTAGTTGAGGTGGCTTCTATAGAAATTAAATAAATGAATAAAATTCCTTCCGTTGGGCTTTTTCAGACTAAGAAGTAAAGGGATTTAAGATGCAGAGCAATAGGAAAGATTCTCAGCATTCTCTTTAGTTTATCCTATACAACAATATGATAAATTCAAGAAAATGAAATTCTAATGAAGTTCACCAGTATCTTGAGAATGAGGTCAAGAAACAGAAATCTTTTTCATCCAGTTTATGGAAACTGGAAAAGACATTTTGATCCAGAATTAATTTATCGATGTCCATCTCACTTTATGACTAGAATATATATTTTACAGGGAATATTATTTTGGCTAAATTATGGAACCTCAGGGATTCATGAGCCATTATTGGATTTAAATGTGCTCAGGTCATATGAGTCTTGCAAGCCGAAAGTATTAAATCTAAAAGGGTTCCATACTATCAGTAATAGCATGTTGCTATGATTGGCTATTTTTGCTGACACATTTTTATGTAAGCAGTGCTTACAGTGGGAGTCAAGGTCAATTGCAACCAAGCAATCAATCATATAAAAAGAAATAGGAAGAGAGAACTGATGGAATTCCATTAAGGATGAGTAATCCAGCATTTCCAAGTAAATCTGAGCTAAATCATCCACCCTCCAATTTATCCCTCTAAAAGGGGAGAACAATTTGGTGATTTTCCTGGGAGTGAGCCATTTATATATATATAAAATCACTTTATCTGGAATGCAAGGTAGCCATGGAACACAATGATCACTAGCCAAAGTGGGCCTCTATGGCCAAGAGTCCATAAGCTCCCAGTCTTTCCTTGGCAAATCTTGTTTTTCCTGCCTCCCACCCAACCTAAATTCGGTGATATAGTTTTTCAGTATTTTTTTTAAAGCAAACTGCGTTCTCTGCTACGATAAATATTTAAAACAAACCAATCAACAACACACACACTCTTACCCTGAAAGTGGGAGAGTGCAGAAGAAAGAAATTATCTTCTTCAATTGGCCCTACCTTCTCCAGTGACATCACCTAATCACCATTGTAGCCTTGTGGCCCACAAAGGTCCTTTTTTTCTTAGCGTTAGAATTGAGTTAGGAGAACTCAAGGGAGGATGGGTGCCCATATTATTAAAATAGTTGCAGCATTGTTTATAAGCACTGGAAACCCTACAAAAATATAGCATACTGTCAAGTCGGAAGGATGGGATTGAACTTGCTTGATCTCATCAACTCTCTGAGGGAAGTATTTCTCTTCTTCTACATAGTTGCCCTGATCCTCATGGACATACACTAGAATGTAACTGCTGCCATCATCATCATCATCATCATCATCATCATCCTCACAAATAAAGCCATAAAGATAACATCCTTAGCATGATACTAAGGATCTCATTGCTGGGCTAATTTTCCCTTGCAGGAAGGTAAGAATCTTTCATTAGATCCTTTATTTGATTAGGTATTCTTCCACCTTGTCATCTGAAGAAAAGTAGCGTATTCAATTGCACTAAGGCTTGGAAACTCCAGGTCATAAATCTCTGGAAGTAGGAATCTCACCTACTCAGCTATCATAAGATATGATCAGAACCGTAGTTCAGCACAAGATAAGGTTGCTGCTTCAATCACTCATTGTCTTGCTCTCTGGGTTCTTGTTTGAGCGAGATGGCCCCGAAGGCTGGCTGTTTTCTGGGATCAGTCAGTACATTTTCTAAACTAGCCAACAAAACTCACTCTGCTTATCAATGCTGTACCTATTCTAGAAGGTCCCCTTCCCCATCTTTTATGTGGCTTCCCATCATTACTCGTATTCCTCTTACAATATGTGGGTCAGAGAGAGGAATCTTTTATACGTTGGATATTGCTGAACTACAGTTCCCAGCAGCACCAGTCAAATGACCATCTGGGAAGCCTATAGGAAGCTGTAGTTCAGCAACATCTTCAAGGACCACCTAGTTCTCCTAGTGATCCTGCTTGTTGTATTTGGAAAACAAACAGAAATACGGTACTGTGCGTATAAATACCAGATCTTATTACAAAGGAAAAAAAAGTTAAATCCCACATTCCACATTCATTTTTTCCCCATCTGCAGGCAGCAAAAACTCCCAAAACACCTCCACTTCAGCAGTTTAGAGTCTTCATCTCCTATCTGAACATGCACAGGCTAAAAAGCCTTGCAGACTCAGGCACTCCAGATGTGTTATGTATCTACTTCATTTTGGCTGCTCCTTCTGCAAGGCCAAAAGAAATATTAATCACTTGATTTCATGTGAAAGGGATGGGACCTCCTCTCAGATTTCAGAAAGGGGCTGGCAAGTAGAGGAAGCCAAAGCTTTCCCTATTTAAGGGCAAGACACAGGAATGCATGTGGCCGAGTTCTCTGCAGGCCCAGTGGTTGATCAGGGCAGGAAGCAATTGATGGTGATCTTTTGATTTTTTTTTCCTCCCCCCTTTTTTCTCCCTCTCATTCTCTTTTGCACATAGAGTCTCATGTTTGAAATTATTTAAACATGATGAGCTGTGTGCAGAGAGCCGTTTTGTTCTTCTTTACTGTGTCACAATTCTCCGTCATTTTGGCACAACAACAAGAGGGTAAGTAATCCCACTTATTGAGAATTGTCATATATTCCCTTCTGTGCAACTTTGCCAGATATTGAGCATTTATCAAGTTACTTTCCCCCCTCCTTTGCTTTGATCTGGGTTAGGATCCTGCATTTGAAGTAAGAAAGCTAACCTTTAAAAAGGAATTTTTAGGGGCTTAACCATATTCTGTGCCTTTTTCTAAACTCTCTCTCTCTTGATGTTTCTAGACTCATTTTGTCTAACCAGCACTGGAAACATGTTACTCTTCTTTTCTTTTTGCTTTTTGAGTGCAGAGTTCAGGAAAGTCTGAACTTCATTTGCAATGTAAAAGAAGGATTGTATTTAGGGTGGGGTTTGTAAGAAATACTGCTTTGGGGTCTTGCTGGCATATGTTTCTTTTTAAATATAGGCTTGTATATAAAGTCGTTTATACCATTTAAGAAAATTATTTTGTGAACTAGGATGGTTGGCTGAGCTCTGGGGAAAGATTTTTCCAGATGTGGATATGAGTGTGTTCTTTTGAGATATAAATGGGAGAGGAATATATAACATCTCAAACTTCATTCCATCACTCATCAGAGAATTATTTCAAGCCCATTGCTCTCCTAACAGTAAATAACCTTAGGCTATGCATGCTTCCTGGAGAGTAAGTCTGATTCTGAACAGTCAAAGGATTTGCAGGAAACGATCACTTGGAAGCACATTAATTGAAATTCAGGATATTTTAATAAGGGACATTTTTGGAACCTGGTGTGTGTGATGGTGATGTGCACTGTGTTGAATTGCCAGAATTGTTGAACTGTATGATCTGTATCTTGGATGCACAGCTGTACTGATACAATTAATTAATAACAAGCTTTACATCATAATTTACCCCAACCAAATGTACTCACATAGTTGATATGTATATCGGAAATTAGATGTTTCTTCATCAGTTTATCTAATAGACAAGCCTTTCTTACAAATGATCCTATGAAAACAAGGATATTCTATGTATTTATAAAAAAAAGCCTCAAGGAAATGAACCTTTTCATTCATTCATTCATTCATCACAATTGATTTAGTGAGTAAGGAGAAAGGGCAATCGTTTTCTGTAAAGTTGCTTTATATAATTGATTCTGTATGTTTGATTTAAACTATACTGACATTGCTTGTAGGAATTTTCTAGATTTTGTCTGTTTTCCACATTCCACTGGCTCCAGTTGCTTATCTCCAGCAGATTTAAGGAATATGAAGCATTTATGGCTACGCATTTAGTGCATTCAAACAGATGCAGTACTTGTTTCTTGTTGTAACATGCATTTTAGATAGATATAACAAAGAAGTCAAACGCATGTTCAGAAATACTTCTGTGTTCTACTGTGTTACATTTTCTGTTATCACTATTTGGTAGACTCTGTAAAATTCAAGAAAAAGAAAGAGAAAGTGAGAGAATACAAAATCACGTAACATTAACCTGAATTTTTTAAAGCCTGCAAATGACAGAGAATGCTGGAATGGCTTATGTTTCCCTCCCTCCCCCCCTCCCCTTCCATTCACTTGTGTCAGATTCTTGGAGACTGCTTGAACAAGTCCCTGCAGTTTTTTTGGCATGGTTTATCAAAAGTGGTTTGTCATGGCCTCCTTCCTAGGTTGAAAGAAAGTGACTGGCCCAAAGTCAGCCAGCTAGTTTTGTGCCAAAGGTGCCTAAACTAGAACTCAGTCTCTTGGTTCCCCTTAATTTTACACCATGTTTACCTACACAGTTTTAAAACAGGAGAGATTTCCAGAAATCTATATTACTTTTTTTCTTTTATTTTTTCTTTTAACATTTTACCAACGAACATGGGTGTGTTATAGATGACTTCCTTCCCTCCTTCCTTCCTTTCTTCCTTCCTTTCTTCCTTCCTTCCTCCCTTCCTTTCTCCCTCCCTCCCTCCCTCCCAGAATAAAAGTTATTCAGATTGGTGCAAGCTATAACCCATAGATGAAACAAAACAGTAACCATCTGGGAAATTAATATTTACATACATAGGAAAATATTTTCTAGATATGGTAAATTGTTCTGTATTTGCTGAAAGTAATATTTAAATAGGAAGGAAGGAAGGAAGGAAGGGAGGGAGGGAGGGAGGGAGGGAGGGAGGGAGGAAGGAAGGAAGGAAGGAAGGAAGGAAGGAAGGAAGGAAGGAAGGAAGGAAGGAAGGAAGGAAGGAAGGAAGGAAGGAAGGGAGATTATTATTGTTAAAGTGTGCCAAAATATTCTGGTAAAGAAGCTGGTGATTGTACACTGAGCATCAAATAATCACACTGTAAAACTCAATTATGAATTCCTTTTTTGCTATAATGGCTAGAAAAGGAGAATGAGGACAGATTTGTATCATAATTATGTTAAGCATTGAAGTCAATGTGGATAAAACTTCACTATAGTGCACTTTTAGTATACGCTGACTGTTTAGGTGTCCTATACTAAAGTCAGAGAACTTATGGCTGTTCAGAACTTGTGGCCCAGAGTTTCTCCCCATTGGTCACGTTGGGGGGGGGGAGTTAATTCAGCATCATTTGGAGGACCACCAGTTCCCTCTCTCTGCCCTGGACCTATGTTAATGCAATTCATCTTACAGTAGAGTTCTGATTTCTTTTTTTTCTTCCTGATTCCTAGTTATGAATATTAGAAAATATTTTAGTATGCCATGGGTCTTTCTTCCTTGCAAACATCATTCAGTTCTCTGAGTATTAATTTATGTCCTTTTGAATTAAGTATTTTCTCTTAGTACTCCACAATCTGACTTCATCTCCTGGAAGGGCTGGAGATAATGAAAGGCTGTGGATAATAATGCTCCTATTTATTTTTTGTTTTTATGATTGGTGTGTCATACTATCTGATCCCCATCTTATATTACTAGAAATTATTAACATTTCCATTATTAGAGAAATCCATAAGGTCTTTACTCAAGTGCATAACCCTTCTTAAGTTGATGAATAAATGACTTTATAACTTGTTTTCCTTGCTACCTCATAAGAATTTGAAAGAACAATCACTACAAGTCTTAACCAAAATTAAGACTTAAGGTTTTCACATTTATTTGTTGGATTGTAGCCATGATAAATGGGCACTGGGATTTGTTGCACTCTTGCCTCTTCATGTTTTATTCCTAAGTTTTCATGTATAATGAAAACATGAAGTGATTTGAAATGGATTATATACAAAGGCTTTGCTTTCAAAATGATGCATTTTCATGTAAAAACATTCTAAACAGAATGAACAGCTTGAGGAATGCCAGCAGTTTTGTGTGTTTTTTCTAAAAGGGAGACAATCAGATCTGGAACATACCGAGCATGTAGAAGCATAATACAAGTACAGTCTTTAGGAAAGCAATCTGTTAAAATAACTTTTAACATTAAACTAGAAATGTTTTTTCTCCATTTATTGACTTGTCCTTCCAAATAGGTCCCACTATATAAGAGGAAAGTTCAAATTTGATAACCTTGTGGTATTAACCAAGCATATAGTTCTCTTTGGGGTTAAAAACAGCAGATTCCATTCCATTCTTCTCAGGTTTATTAAACTGAGATGTTGAAACTGGGATCTATCCATGTTGAAACAGCAACCTCACACAGTGTAGATAATGTATGAATCAACTTTAGATGTCCACCCTCCAAGTATCAACTGCAATGAGGTTTTTGGCCAAAGAAAAAGACTATAAAACGATATTCTGGTTTTCCAATTACAGTGTATGTTTTGTGCTTACTGTGCAAAAAGCAAACCCTGCTTACATTTCCTGGCATTTGAACATTAATTTGAAATTAGTGGATTGCAAGATAAGCCAAGCCAAAATTTCCAGTCAGGATGCATGTAAATGGCAGAAAAGATGCAGCATGAAATGGAATTATGGGTTATGTTACAGAATATTTTGACAAGACTAATTCATACCCTTACTGTTGAGCTCAGCTAATTCCATTCTTCCCCAAAGGACTGGGGAAGATATCCCTCTAAACCAGGGATGTCCAAAATTTTGACTTGCCTGGGTGATATTGAGTGAAGACATATTGTCTTGGGCCAAATATAAAATATATAATATAATTAATGTATATAAATAAAACAATATGGGGTGGGTAGATCTTATGGGGCCACATTTCTAGCTATCTAGAGCTGCATGTGGCCCAGAGGCTGTGCATTGGACATTGCTGCTCTAAACCATAGTTTATTGAAATTATATTAAACAACCCATAGTTTAGAAGGCACAATAGCTTGGTGCACAGAACCCACTAAGCAAATACTAAACACATTACATTATGACTTAATATAATGTGTACACACACATACACACACACACACACACACACATACATCAGAGCTTATTTGTAGTGACAATTAAGAATGGGGTCCTATCTCTGCAGAGACATGGATGAGGTTAGGATATGCCCCTCTCAAAGTAAACAAATAACTAAAATGAATTGTTTTAACATGATCCTTCCATACCTAGTTTTCATGTTGTGAAATAGTTCTGACCAAGAAGTAAGACTTGCCCCAACTCTTTTGAACTTTCAGAAAGTAGCTGAAGTGAAATACCTCTAGCAGAACCTTTTTTAACTAATTAGTTGGGATATTATTGTTCAGACATGATCCTGTGCCTATATAACCTTTGTTTGGCTTTAGCTTCCATGTTACATTTCAATGTTACACTTGAAATAGTTGTTGCCTCTGCCAATCTGCTTATGTTACATTCCAAAGTAGTCAAAAGGTTTTCATAGAAGTTGTCTGGATGTCATTCACCACTTTCTTTCTATAAAACCTTACTGAAACTATACCTCCAGTTTCAGTTTAACTCTTAATGGTCAAAGTTAAATAAAGCCAGGAGAAAGGAACAATGTTCAGATGTATGGTGTGTGTTTCTTCATCACCACATCAATTAAGGCTCAATGTGCTTTCACTTTTAGGATGTTGGTTTTCCGGGGGTCAAGAATAGGCAACTGGCAGGCCCTGAGCCCTCTTTGATTGCAAATCCTAAAAGTTGATGGCTGTTTTGAGA